CTCCCTGAGCAGGCTGATCCAACAGCCTCACCTGTTCACACTTCAAGTTCCCAGCCCAGTGTCAGGCCTGCACCCATAACATCTTCGGGTGTGAGAACGCCGGATGTCCGCCGTAATCCACCTAGAGAAAGGAGGCCTCCTCAACGGCTGGACCTTTAGTTGAGATTAACTCACAGATGGGGCAAAATAATCCCCAGGGTTAGCTGGGAACTTGAGGCGTTCTACCCTCATTTCATAGTTCGTTTTTGTTTTTTTAAAGGGACGTTTTTATTAAGGGGGGAGGAATATGTTGTATATTGGGTTGTAGATATAGATCTTGTTGTTATGGTAACTGAGTAGGTCACTGGGGTCAGCCCAGCTAGTCTGGGCTTGTTCTGGTGAGTTCTGTGCTATGTAATAAAATGGACACTTGCACCTACTCCAGCTCTCTGCCTTTCCACTGATTTCTTCCTATGCTCTGAAACTCCCCACGACATAACAGAAAGAAATAGTCAATTAGAGTGTCCTGAAGCTGATAGAGAAGGTACAAATTGTTCTTAAGTACCCATTGTTTGGTACTAGTGAGTTACATTTGTTTAGTCTCATAGTAATGTACAAGTAAATGAGAGCCCAGTGTTGCTTCCAAAACCTCCACTATGGGTAGTGAGAGGTAAGGAACCCAACTTGACTCTCAAACCCCAAGCTGAACTAGCAGTTAGAGGAGGAAAACAAATCTCTAACTTGTAACCAGAACACATCTGAAATAGAAATCACTGTAACACAATGCAGGTGGAATCCTACAATATAACTCTTAGAGCCATTTTCACTGTAGAACCATACTTTAAAATGTCACTGCTGTATTCTAATAGCTCTCACTTCTGTTCTCCTTTTTCCCCACTCCAACTCCGTACAGTTACTTTAACTTAAAAAAATTGTTTTCAGCCCAGTTGCCGCGTGCCAAAGAAATAAAGAAGCCATCTTCTGATCAGTCTGATGACAATGCAGAGCCTAAATCTGAGAATGAGTACCGAGGGGATAAAAGCCAGAGTGAGATGCCATCTACGGAGTTCCAAAAGGAGAAGTGGATGAAGGCCACTCTGAGGCCCAAGCCGGCTTATCTGAGTTCAAAACCAAGAGTCCAAAGGAAAGGCCTCTTGACTGCAATCTTGGAGATTCTGTCCTGGGCCCAGGGGACAAGGCCATATTGCTTTGAGAAGAATGCCCTGTATAATACTGTAACGGTGAGTGGAGCAACCATACCCGTTCTTTATGTGAGCACTATTTTTGTGTGTCGCTTACCTCTCTCTTCCTCCTCACCTTTCAACTGGACTCAGATCTTGATTGTTAATCAGCCAGGCAGAAAATAGAAATTTTTTTGCATTTGTCTCATACCAAACTCTTCTCCATTTGCAATGTCTTCTCTTCTATGTAGAATAGTGATAGAGATGCAGCCGTGTTAACCCTGTCTTTTGTTTCAGCTAGCCCAGAGTATCTGAGGAAGTGGGTCTGGCCCACGAAAGCTCATCACCTAATAAACCATCTTGTTAGTCTTTAAAGTGTTGCATAGCCCTGTCTTTTGTTTACTCTTCTATGTGGTAGTTAAAGGTGTTCTGTAAGGACACACAAGTGCCTTTATATATTTAAAAAGAACAAAACAAAAACAAACCCTGAGTATTACAGAGCTACTGAAGTTCAAAAGGCAGACAAGCACCTCGAGTAGTTTTCATTGTTTTTAGTTTCTTAATTACAGGCAGTCCCCGGGTTACATGGATCTGACTTACATCGGATCTCTACTTACAAATGGGGTGAGGCAACCCCACACTAGCTGCGCCCTCTCCCCCCCCCAGCAGACTGCCGAGACGCGCCGCAGTCCTACCGCCCGCGTCCTCCGTGGCGAGAAAAGCCGCTCCGCGTCTCCCTGGTCTGCAGGACTGAGGGAAGTGAAGTGTGGGAGAATAAAACTGAGCTCTGGATAAATGTTTGGCTAGAGTTTCCCCTACAATATGTACCAGTTCCGACTTACATAAAAATTCAACTTGAGAACAAACCTACAGTCCCTATCTTGTACGTAACCCGGGGACTTCCTGTATCTGATTCACAAACTCCCTTTGATATAACACGTCAGCATGTAACTTTTTAATGTATTTATAATATAGTTTTAAAAAGCTGTTTCAGCCCCCAAATAATGGAATGAATACATGTAAGTCTAAAAATTATAAATACAGACTTTTCCTTCAAAAATTATTTTGCTCTCCTCACTTAATTGGCATGACCTGAATTCAGGATTCTCCAGTTTTCTTAAGAATGTTAAAGTCTCAAACACTTGCCTCACAACACAGAATGCAATGTTGCCTGTTCTCTTAAGTATTTATGACATCATCCACTCCTGAGAGACCTTGACTCTTGACATGTTAGTAAAGTAGCAAATATCTTTCAAATGTTCTCAAAACTGTTATAATGACTAGACTGAATATAAATATTCTGTTTATCTTGCCTCTTGTGCATTGGTCCTGCATGAATATCCCATGCCTTTAATGGGGTACTTCAGGGGTCTGTCCAAGCAGGGTATGTTGGAGACTAGGGATTTAGATCAGTTCCCTGTTATATGATTTAAAGCAGTTCTTTGCTATCCAGGTGGAACATGGAGGGTGGCAGGAGAACCAGATGCTCATTGTGCCCTTACACCTCGTATAGCCCATTGGAAATGCCATTGATGTAAAAAATGTCTGCACCAGGAAAAATCTCTTTCCCCTTTTTCCCCACTAGCTATTGTGCTCCCTGCTTCTTTCTCTCACCTGGAACTTTGTCTGCCAATTGCTTGAGATCTCTAACATCCTGACGATTCAACAACTACCATCATCTCTAGTTACCTACACAGCTCATCTTTTCACCCTGCTGAGAGAAAAGATTGTGAAAATCTTGGATTCCCTGAAATTAGAGATCGGAGGGCTGTCTGCTTCAGTCATTGGGAGGAGATATGAGAAAACTGAAGCAAAGTGAGACAGCAAAGTACATCGTGGATCCAAACTGGAGAACTACACTGGTGTGCAAATAAAACAGTGGGGGATGTTTCCCCCAGCTGTAACTTTTTCATTGTCTGAGAGCTGTTAGTGTGGAGCAGAGGTTTAGCAATTCTTTAATCTTGACTATGTGTTCCTTTGGGGGTTTTTTAATCAGGATTCTGGTGGATTAGCATCTATGTACACATCACAAGTGGCTTCCATGTGGGTAATATCAATATACCAAGTACTGTCAGTTGAAGTGACACCTCTTGCCAGCACCAGCCTCTCCTTTCAAACAATTAAGGCAATTAATATTCATTGATATTCAAGTACCATAATCCATTCAGCCCATTGTTTATCTTGTTTCTGACTAATAAAATCCCAACTATTGGAGATTACGACATCTGGTTCTCAGCTCCCGAGAAAAAAAACAAACATACCTTAGATTACTAATGGCTTAATTGCTGCACAATATACTGACACATTGGGCACAAGATTTCTCCTTTCCTGTCCAATGTTCCTGGCACATCTATTTTAAGCACTTACCATCTCATGTGCTGCCCGGTTGGAAATGGAGACACTGGTTTGTGCTCTATGGGACTACTTGATAGTCACATTATGATCAGAAGGGTCACTGATGGTGCATGTTGTCTTCTCCTGAGACTTTCAAAAACCAGATACTGCATTTTCTGGGACTTCTCTGGTTGCTAGATTCTAAATAAAGTGGGCTGCAAATTGCACGAGAATGAATAAATGGTTTATTTAAAAAGAGGGCTAATTAAAATTGCCCTTGTATCCACACCTGGAAGGCGAATACAGGGCTGGGATAGTTCTCCTTTTAGAATGCTTCTAGGAGAGTAAGTAAAACATATTACCTCAAGTCTGACCATGCTAAATCAGCACAGTTGCAGTGGGACAAGTGACTGGAAGGTGGTGTGTTCTCTCTCCCTAGTTCACAATGGTGTGAATGTACTAGTCACTGGCTTGGCAGGTGTCTGACACCACACTTTCAGGAAGATGGGCCAGTTTAAATATTTAAGAGAGCTGCTGGTGGAGTGGAAACATAGCTAATGCTAGATACTATTTTTAATGTGAGCTGTAGCTTCTGGGTCCAATGGGGGTTGTCTGAGCTTTCCTGAACTTTCAATGCGGGCTGTGCCAACAAAACCTCATGATACCATCTACATGTTTTGTTAGTCTATAAAGTGCTATCCGACCATTTGTTGTTTTTTAAGTTTATCCTGTACAGACTAACGTGGCTACCCCCTGAAGCTTCTTTCAATGACGGTTATAGTTCCCCCTCCTGGAAGCAGTAAGTGAAACATACTAAACTGATTAGGAACTCGAATGTACCAGTATAGATTTGAGCTCTAACAGTTCTCAGAAGTCTAAAACATTTATGTCCTTTTCTTTGGAATTTCACCCTTCTGAAGAATTCACAACCAATAATTACTCTTCTGTCTGCTGCAGTGGGAACATGAAATAGTAAGAGGTAGAAAGAATGGAATGGTATACTCCCCTTGTTCCTTCATACATAAAATGTATGTATTCTTGCATTTCTTCTGTCTCTTACTGGTTCATGTTCCACTGAAGCAGTAGAAGATTAAGAA